CACCGTTAGGCACACAGTAAGAGCTCGATGCAGGTTGGCCCTGGCCTTGCTGCTGCTCCGATCTTTCACCTTTTACGTAGGACACTGGGCTTGGTAATGGTCATGGACCATTGGTTTGCCGATAAGGCTGTTGTGATTGGTATCCCTTCGTTCCTGCATGTTTGGCAGAGATTGTCAGGGTTCAAGTTCACGCACAGAGTGTCAGCTGGCCTTTGCCAACTTGTGTTTGCGTCAGGCCCTTGATAGACTGTCATCAGCATTTCAATGCAACAGCGCAACATCCTGGTAAGTACCAGAGGCACCTGGAAAGCAGAAGGTCATCACAATTAGAGGTTTCTCTTGTTGGCTCCATTGAGTGCACAGCCAAGGATGCTTCGGCAGGCTGAGAAGTAAGGATGAAGTAGGTGAGGTGCAACATGGTGCAATGCGAAGTGGTAGGGGGAAGTTCTTGTGGGGGCGTTGAATGGTGTCGATGCTCTACCTCTACCCGACAAATATGCACTCCCAAAAAATCCCAAAAGTGCGGTGCATTGCTCAGGAGCATACTCGTTGACGGCCATAACAAAGGAGATGGAAGCGAAGGGTCCCGAGTTGCCGGGTGTGTCCACTAAGTATGTAATCCCTATTGAATTGTCGTGCGTCCATACATTGCCGAAGGATGCCGAAGGTTGCAGTGGTGGGAGTTCTGATGAGTCTTGCCGGGTGTGCTGTCAGGTTTGTTTGATTTGCATAAGAGATCATGCAGAATCTTCATAGTTGATCTTCGTGCTGCTGCAGAAGTTGTCTGAGAAAGGAGGACACCAAAGAAGCCGTAACATGGCTACCAACGTTGTTCTTCAGTCCGTCAAATTCCTCACAGGAGCATGGCACCGGAGCTGCCACAGCGGTGGGCACCGCTCGGAAGTCCCTCACTGTGTGCGTGGCCTCAGCTGGTGGAGCCTGACCGGAGCAAACTAAGCCAGAGGTTGAATCAGAAGTCGTACCAGTCTATATATACATACTTTACATCAAGCAGTTCAGTTCACTGAGGCTGGTGCAATTCATCACCCTCCCGTTTGCTTGGCACAATCTGGGCACACTGCCAAAAATATTTCAATCTATAGACTGTGGACTTCGTAGTAACTGAAAGCCAAGCGAGACAGAGTGGAATCGAACTACCAATCACAGTGCTGAAGCGGACTAAATGGCTGACAGTGCTTCGTCCTCTCCGCAGCTACAGGTAGCTCTTTGCAAGGAAAGAGCGGTGAACAGCCACCGCTAAAAAGAGGTGTGGTCGCGGCATTACCCACGATTCATCTCGTGTGAAAACCAACGACGCACTTTGTTGCAGACTTACTCTAGCGAACAGTTTTGGAGTACCCAAGAAAGGGCATGTTTTGAACCCCTGCAACCCAGCGACACAAAGCGCCGCTTACCTCCTAGATGTCTTGGATGTCAATGAGTGAAGAAGGAATAGGATACCGCCAGGTCTTTGGTCTTCAGAGACTTTGAAACAGGCATCCCGACATTTTCTTTTCTGGGAACAAGGGCATTTCTACTAGGAGCAAGGACGCTACTAGTAGCTCCTGGCATTACTACGAACAAGAAGCTACTAGTAACAATCCCGGTCCCGACATCCCATTTGCCCAAAATCCAAGTCTTGCGCCACTTTTCCACCATGCCAAGGCTCCTTTCCTTCGTGCTTTTCCCAAAGCCTTTTCATGTGAGCTTTGACCGCAATTGGAAAAACAGCGCTGGGGAGCATCCAAAAAAGAATCATAATTTTCTTCACTTTTTGCGCCACACTCAAAAGCTGGATGTGTAGTAGCTGTAAATTGTCAATGCTTGTACTTGTTCGGCTGCTGTGCTGAAGGCTGAGAGCTGAGGGCTCTCTACTGCAAGAGTTGCTCTAGAGCGGGGAATGTGCCCAACTGAGGAATTACATGCTTGGTACCATCGCTCCTTAGATGCAGGATTCGAAAGCAACATTGAAACAGCAGCATCGGGAGGTTTGCGCCGTTGAAGTTTCAAGATAGGGTGGCGCAGAGCTTGGTGGGGGAGAGCGCTCCAAAGCGAGGGTCCGAAAAGCAGTGAAAATGGGGTCTGGTGATGCGAGAGATGTAATGGACGCCGAGTAGTGCATCATTAGCATCATGAAGGGCTTTGGAGACTATTTGGACAATGGGCATTGAGGACTCGAGTGGAGACAGGGACCCACGTAATGAAGCGGCAGCTGGCTTTTGTCCCCCCCTTCTCAGGTATCCTTGTCAGGGCTTTTGAAGATAATAGGGTATGAGCCGCTGCAGAACATGTTTGGTCGAGGCCATTGAAGTTCTAAGCCGATCCTTTTGAGGCATTTGTGGCGGCTGACCTCATCTATTTGCAGGCGCCACAAAGGGGGCTCCACCAAAGCTAGAAGCAAACACATTCCAACTGCGAATGCAACACATTTCGATCCTCATAGCGATGGCCTCACGGCCTCCAACCTACTTGCGATGGCCTCCATCTAGTAGCTTCTTGTTACTAATGGTAAGGCGCCTGAAGCAAAACATTTCGATCCGTCCTGTTGTCCAAACATCGCATAGACTTGCGCGATAACTGGTGTTTGAAGGTTTTTCTAGTTTTTTTCCCGCTTCCCGCCCCATGACCTTACCTGGGACCCATCAAATTTAGGGATCTGCGCAATCGTGGCCCCAAAAGGCATAGGAGCGAGCTGAATGCTGCGCACGTAAAGTTTTTGCTTTTGTTCAAACCTTCATCATATTGCATCCGATAACACATTATGGGAACCCATGAACCCATGCAGCACGGGACATGAGAGGACCCTAGAGGACCTAATTTCACACCATGGGACTGGTACAATAGTAAAACATACCAAATGATACCAACATACACATACACCAACTGGTTGAATCCTTACGCCATCTCCACTGGACATTTGTTTGGAAAGAGCAGGTCCCATACAGCTCCCGATCAGATCGATTTTCGCGGAGCCGCAGGTGAGCTCAGCAAAGGCCAGGCACAAAGCTGTTTGGATGCCCAACTGCTGCGATTGCCTCCACCCTAGTAGCGATGGCCTCCAACTGAATGGTTTTGAGTTTGAAGAAAAGACACTTGGCCGAAAGTTCTCTTGAACTTGGCTCTGTGGGTCCCTTGATTCATTCAGGTTCTTGAACATTTTTTTCCTTGAAGTGTTCTTTGGTGTGCAGCGTGTTCCGAACAGACTTCCTATACCAATCTGTGTTTCATCTCCGCTACTGCCATTTCTTTTGTTCAATCCATCCAGCCTAATTGTCCTCACGAGCTCTCTAACAAACCAATATTGGAACCATGCTCCTTGATGCCAGAACAGTTTCCAGGCACATGTTGAAAGTTTGAGAAACCAGTTCGTCTTGTGTAGACATCGTGCTTTATGGTTTTTGTTTATGAATCGAACTACATACCCCATCGATGGTGTAGTGCAATGCAAAAGACAATCTTTGGCGTGGAACTTTCAAGTTGGCTACACGATCTTTTAAATTTATAGAAGTACTTACTTGGTCATTGGTCATACTGCACTTGTATTCGTGCTATATAAGTCACTAACCCAGTGACGATGAATGCATCGTAGTTGCCACCTTCACACTTGGTTCCACACCAAAATGCGTGCCAAGGTGAGTCAGGATGCAGATGACCCTGTCTCAAGGCACTGTGTTTGGGGCAAGGTAGACTGCTGAGCAAATCTTCAACATCTCTCAGTGCAGAAGTGCTAAGACGTTAAAAAGGTCCAAAACACCAAGCACTGCTGGCCAGGGACAAGTGCGTCATCGGCAAAGAGGCCAACAAAGAATCTGTCTAAGCGGAAGACTTCTTCCTGTGAGTTTTAGTCACTTGATAATGAACTGGTGCCTGGATTTCTGGCCGGCCAGCTGGTGCCGAAAGAGGCATCGGCTTGGCAAGTAGGTGAACAAGTGCAACGACAATTGTTCCAGAGCAGCCATTGAACATGGCTTGTTCCATCCTGTGTTTGTATGCTTGCGTGAATGGGATTGTTGCGCGCGACAGAAAAGTTTGGATGGGCTGGGGTGTGATTTCTGGGTGGACTTAGGAAAGGTTCTTGTAACTACAAGATAATATCTTGTAATTAAAAGTCACGTCATGCTCCTGGGGAAGGGAAGGAGGGGAGGGAAAGAGAGAGAGAGAGAGAGAGACACAGATTTCTTCAGCCTTAACTTATATGCATGTATGTAGCTGTTGGAAAATATGAAGCAAACCAAGCCCACGATGAGTGCTTCCCCAAATACAGTAGTCTATTGCCAAGTGTTAGTCACTTGTGGCTTAATCCAGGTCAAAATGAAATAAGCAGCTCGATTCTGTCCAAAAACATTTTGGAAGTACCCAGTCTTAGGCCGAGGGGCTTAAAGCGAAACTATGTCACTGTATACTATAGGAGGTTGAAATCCCTGGTAGTCCAGGCAGTTCAAGTTTTATCGTGGTCAACCAGAGTCGCTGGGTGTTGACCCACACCCATGTGTCACCTGTACGTGTAGAACTGATGCCTGAGGCATGAATGTAATGAAGGGCCAGGTCTCAAGCCAGCGAATTTATGAATGAAACCGCCCAATGGTACACGACCGACACCAATGTAATTCTTTGTAGATTGTTGTACATGGAGCTGGAACTTGCTTGAATTATGGACTTGTCACATCATGCCACACGACATCACTTGAAACATTGTTTTGCAAGGTAGTCTAGTAGTCAAATTAGATGACATGCAGAAGAGAGAGGGGCTCTAAACCTTACCAAATCTTGCCAACAATAAGTCCAATCACAAGAAGACACTGGATCTATAATTTGCCTTTGCTGCCCGTGTGTGATCATCACATGAGCTTCTCAAGGGTAGCCAGGAGTCGGCTTGCCAAGCTGTGCATTTGGTGTACCCAGCTGATGAACCAGGAACTTCCGGTCACGGACTCCACCCGCACCACCCACACCGGACAAGCCAGCCAACAAGAACAGGACTACAGATACTACAGGACGAGTTCCCACACCTGACGGTGGCTCGCTGGTGTGCATGCTCCATAGAGGGTGACTCCGTTTGCCGCGGAGTCTGGAGGGAGCAGGCCGATCGAAGAGCGGTTTGTTGGGAGTCTTTGGGGTGTTCAGGATGCTTTTCGTGGAGGTTGAGAGCAAGGCAACATATTCCAAGATGGAGGCATAGTTATCATCTATCACATATTAGATGGATGGCATACAGGGAGCTTGAAGGTGCATTCAACATTCATCAGACAGATGTTTTCGGCATGAACACTTGAAGGAACAGAGCACAACATTTGTAGAAGGCCGAAGACAATTGACGTGTCCACTACTGTGAAAAGCTTCTTCAACTTGTCCTGCGAACCACAAGGACACTGCAGAACGCATCCATACGCATCCATTCCATTTTCTAGGCAACATGTTGATACGATGTTTCCTCCTGTGGCTGTGCTTGGGCAGGCATGGCAGCGATGTCCGCCGTGGGCAGCCAAGCTGTTCGTTTTGTTTGCATGTTCATTTGCGTACTGTTTAGTTGAGTGATATCAATTGGGTCTGTCCTATTACCTGTAATAGTTAGTAAACAATTACTACTGTTTTTGAACCAGGCCTTTACTAACCATCATCATCCACGGTTACAGGTAGTAGGATAGACCCAAGATATCAATCAGTTCTGGTTCCAATGTATGGAAGGAGGTTTGGTAGTTGTAGTTGTTCCTTTTCATTCAGCGACTCGATTAGTGAGAACAATTTAGGAGAGCTCAACTGACTCCTTGAATTCAATAGTGGCGAATCTTTGAGCCATGCTGAGGGCGTGACCCCTCCGAATCCGAGTGGTGGGAACCTGTGAAACCGTCCGAGTGGGGGCAGCAGATGCGTCAGGGAAGACGTCTCTAGCGGAGCGATATTATACAATCATAGCTATAAGTTGTAACTATAAGTATATACATACAATACATGTACTTTCAACATCCTGACATGACCAGCCAACACATTCTTGACAAGACCATGAAGGGGAGCGTCAAAGTCCTGCGTTCTCTGGGCTTTATCCAGGCTACAGTCGACCAAGGTGTTTCACAGGAAAGTATTTTCCCATTCTTAGGCTTTCTCCATTTTGGATGCTACCTTTGCATTCGCCCCAAATGAATCAAATCAAACTACGGGCAAGCAGTCTTCAGCTAGGAGGCCGAGTGTTCATGCCCTGATATACCCTCAACGGTGTGATGACCAAAAGTGTGTGTTCAACGGCACAGAGTCCTCAAGCCAAGTCAACTGAGTCACCCGCTTCAACGCGATCAACGCGGTTAGTTGTATTGCTCACAGGCATACTAATCTATCAGATTCTATATGATTCTATCATGTTTAGTCAAGTCACTACATCCACAAGGGACAGGATTCACAAGCCGGCCAAATTAACGTTTGGGAGCTTTGGCAGGCAGTGATCCTTGGTGCCAGATGGTTTTGCTAGGTTGAATTGAGATCGTTGGATGGGATGACCCGTGTAATCCAGAGATCATCAGAGATCCTAGAGTTGGTCCAGATGGATTTGTTTTCCTTTGTCTAAGTCTTTAGCATCCTATCCAACTAGTACAGCTATCCACTTAGAATGCCAGATGCTCATCGCCCTCACTCTGAAGTTTAGATAACATCTAGTCTATTGCATGTCAAAGTGTGTTTCACCACAAAATGACTATTTGCCATCGTTCTTGTTGCAAGAGTATTACTTACGAGTATTGCAATACTCCAACTGTATGTGACTGATTAGGTCAATTATCTTATATTATCTCATACCATGAGACACTTAGCATACAGTATGCTAGTAGGTTGGAGGCCATCGCTAGGTTCCTTAAAGTCTTTTTCCTTAACTGCTGAGCTATGTTTGGAATCCATGGTTACTAGGAGCAAAGGGCATCGCTACTACTGGTAGGGGCAAGGACGCTACTAGGGGCTCCTGGCCTTACTACTAGTAATTAACAAAGAAGCTATTAGTAACAAGTGCATCGCTTCTAGTAACAAGTGCCTTACTTCTAGGAACAAGGACGCTACTAGTAGCCTTTCACCTAGGCCCGCGGCCGAGCTCCGAAGCCATGAACTCCGTGGCGCGGTCCGAGCGGAACTGAGGGAACTCGGTGTGTCATGAAAACCACACCAAACGGAGGGAACAGGAGGGAACACCGGATGATGTTGAGATGAGTGAGGACGGTGACCTATCTAACCACTCTAACTTTGATTTGGAGATATTTGAGAGTAAGGATTGCGGTGCTGATGGATGAGATGTATCCACACCAGGTCCTCATGACCTTAGGAGAATAAGAGGGAGGACACAGGAGCTCTGGAGAATGTTCAAGAGATGAGCCTAGTGTGGCCATCAGGCCACGCTTTGGGCCCGTTACTGCTTTGCCCAGGTGATCATGTCAGCCATGTGCTTGAAAATCAGACCCGTAACATCCCGAAGCTACACCTGTAGAGTCTACTGTAATTAGAGACCATCCATAAGAGAGCCCACTGTCTCCCACCCTTGCCCGCCCTGCAGACGGCTTCGGGACCACGCGCGGCTACCCAATACCGGAAGCGCCAGAAGGCGTTGATTGGGCTCCGACTGAAAAGCACAGGGAAGGCCATCCGGCGAGGCCTTGCTAACAATATTGAACGAATGCGAACTACACATAATAACTTCACTCCATACGGTATACATGTTTGAATTGTCACTGCATGTGATACGGTATCCGAATGTCAATCAATAATGGTGTATATTCTTTGGAAAACAACAGTGGATTCATTCATGATGATCCACGAATTCAGTTGAATTGACCATATGGTGTGACCAGACTCTTTGCTCCAAAAACGTTGTTTCTCAGAAATAATGATGAAGCAAGCGCCATGTACCTCCACGAACACTTACTGTAATTCCAAGAGCGGCAAAGGACACCAAAGGACTGAGTTCTACCAAGGTCCGAGTGCAGGGAAGAAGTGGAGTGAGGTGTGGTCGAGTGTCCGGGAAAGCGGGAGAGGTCGGAAAGGTGTCGGTCGTGACAATGAAGGGCCACTCGAATGAACCATTCCCTTCGGAAAAGATCTCTGGTTACAGGCTTTTGTAGATTGTAAAGCGAGTGATTGGAGGGCTACCTCCTCTTGTGAAACAGATGAAGAGTTTCTGCATACCTGTAACATCCTGTAACCAAATCCCTTCCAGAATCAGACACCTAGGGTGTCAAATCCACTACTGATTTGTAAAGGTGTTTCTCTTTTTACGATATCAGAGTCTGGGGCGTTGGAATTTGTAAAGATCTTGCATTTGGACGAACTCAGAGTGGGTGCCATGACTTTGTGGACGCGAATCCTGAGTTTTTGGATGGTGTGTTTGCTAAAATGCATGCACTTTTTTCTATTTATTTCTATACATGGCTGAGGGATTGATTTCGTAGAGGCTTTAAGAGCTGTTTTCTCTACCACAGGCTGGGGGCCTTGAATTTGTCATTCCAGGATCAGGCACCCCAAAGGTAAACCCGTTCAGTATGTTGTTGTAGTCTTCCTGGCAGACGCAAGACTTGTCGTGTTGGATGTTGTTGGATCTTGGCTTCCAAAAGGCCTCCGAGCACAAGACTGTGCATTTGCGCAAAACAAGTGTGGAGAACTCCCTCTCATTGGTTGACGAATCACGACACCGTCACGACACCCCCAGGACCCATCGCTACACCCTCAGCTTCGCACGCGCGGTGCTTCCAGGTGTGCGAGCAAGTGCAAAAGCCGGATGGCTCCGTGAGGACGCCGGGCGGAGATCGATGGGGGACCGATGGGCCCATGGGGAGAGTTGGGGCCTGCAAAGGAGGATGGCCTTGTAACATCGTGTAACTGGATGCGTTTAGTGGTGTTTCTGTTAGTTTCAGTCATTGTTTTTCAATGTTTTCACCAGACCTTCGGTTGACCCAGGTGGCATTGATGATTGGCAACACCACATTCTTCCACGCTGTGTCAAAGCCCCATAATTCTCATTGAAAATTAGTTGAACAACCCTCAAGTTTCACTGGCATGCAAATTAATTGAAGCTGACGGCTCCCCAATTTTGGGGCTCGCACCTCCGGCAGCCTCTTGCCGCTTCCCCACATAGTGAGATCCGAGCGAAGCGCGATCTGAACGAGGACCTCACCGCCCTTCAAAAGCGCAGCCACTTCGGTGGGCGCAAGCCCGCCACGGCTGCGCCATCCCACAGGTGCCTTGAGTCTCAGGGTGGACTTGACATAATCCATTTAACAGGGATTTTGTTGCAAATCATTAGTAGGTTTATAATGGTTTATACAAAAAGGGAACTGTTGAGAAGTTGCTGAGGCTGTTCTGCTTGGGGCGTAGGATTTGACAGGCCGATGTTTTTCCATCGAACCGCCGCCCCGCGACCGGCCATGACAGGCTGGTGTCGGCGCCCGAGTCGGGGGCGAACCGGCCTCTACGGAGGCATTCCTGTGAAGGTGCCTTGGGCGCAAGGAGTGCGATGCGAAGCCTGACCACAAACACCTTGCAAGAGGGACGAACCAATTTGGACGATGAACATCATTCCGATTGGCAAACACCATGCAAAACTCTACAATTATATATACCATTATATATTATGGAGTCCGGCCAAACGTCTATAATACAAAGAAATAGATATATATATATATATAAAGAAATATGTAGCGGGCCCCCATGTGAACACGACATTCACCAATTTTTTGGAAGAATACATTTCGACCAGATCCCATGTACGTACTTATAGTAATAGCGTGTAATAGCCTATAAGAATCTCCAAGGAAGCGATCATCATCAAGCAAGTAAAGCATGTTGCAACGTTTGGCAACCACAGCATCTCAACATTAAGACAGAGAGTCACTTAAAAGTATGCTTTTTTACGCCAAAGTGCATGGACAACACCTTGAGGGAGTAGGAATCAAACCCAAAGAGGGCATCGATTAGATTCCCCATGTTGTCCTGTTACAGCTTAAGTTGCTCTGAGGATCCTTCACGAGGAGGTTCTTCTCGTGGTGCGTCCTCAGGACCGAAAAGCTGTCGAAGTATCACTGGCTCTCCAGTATGACACGGCACAAAGCTGCATTGCACTTGTTCTCCAGTTTCAGCTGCCTATCATTTTCGGATAATTAGTGCAAATTTCTTTGCTGGCAGCTTTGGGCCGAAGCATCAGGAAAGTCCTCTCGTTCCTCATCCCGGGATATTGCACGGGATGGCTCCAAACTTAGAACGTTTGAATGCTTGGAAGGGTTACAGAGTATGGAAGTAGATTTGAAAGGACTAAAGAATATGTTTTTCTCTCGTTAGCATGCCCAAGTCCTTTCTTCTTGTGACTGGGAGATGAAAGGAGCTGGGAGCTGGCGGGACTGTTTGTGGTGCTTTACGAAGGAAAAGGATCTGCGAAGCTCGCGAGAAGAAGGGTGTTCAGACACAAGCTGTTACTTGCATTCTCACCGATCTCATCTAGGTGATATTTCTTCCCGGTGTTCATCTGGATGCTGCTGCCTCAGTATTGAAGTTTGTCTCCAACCAGGAATGGATGTTCAATCTCAAAGGGCGCTTGTTCTTGCAATGCCAGCCTTTTGGGTCTACATGGGCTTACCAAGTACTATGATGTTCAGTATATTTATTAAATAGCACAGGAGTTGACACTGTAGAACTTCAAGCTGGACACACTTCTGGTGGTACCGTACCTTCAGTTTCTCTTACTCAAGAGAGTCTTCCTTGACACATAAACACACTCAGTTTGTGTCACAATCGTGATACTACAGTATAGGATACTATCACGCTTAGTGACTTAGTGCACGTCTTCCATTTGGAACATGTCAAAAGGTCTGTCCGTTTAGTCCATCGTTGTTTTGCACCGTGCTTGGTCCGTCAAAACACCGGTACTCCGCTGGGAGTACCCGCCGGTGGTACTCGAGGTTGGGAGACCTCGACCAACTCCTCGGAGCCGGTCACCGACGTCATCCCGTGACTCGGAGCTCACCAAAACAGAGCCACAAAAGGAAGCCCTGGGAAGCCTTGCGACCATGCAGGCTTTTGACCTTTTTCATGCTTTGACCATGCAAGTGATGGGATCATGGGTTTAAGATGGTTGGCTTCAACAACCAAACACCGTTGTGCTAAGCCGGGTACATGTCTTTGGTTGAGTTCTTTTGATCGGTTTTTTGCAGTTTGATTGGAAAAGCCGCGGTGTGGTTCAGTTTGGAGAGGGTAAAGGTAGAGGAGAGAGTGCAAGTGCAAGCGACAATAGTGGGGAAGATGTTTAGCTCATGCTCCAGGTCTAATTGGAATGTTGGTTCCAATTATGTTCAAATCGAAGGAAAAGTGCACGTCACGTTGCATTTCCTTTGGTTCAATTAAATGTGGACTTGGCTCTTGAGTTTTTGCTAACAAAGCGATACGTTTACTGTAATTATATGTGTACAATATTGTTTGCAGGCGTCTCTTCCGCAGGTGAAGTGTAGCCAGCAGGAGCTGCCATGGTCAACGACCGCTTTTATATGATTTTACTATTCTATCATATTCTATCACAACAGGCAGTAAATGGACTTGGTTAATTTGCTTGTCAGATTGCCTACTCCGCCACCAGCAGTTGTGCATAGATCAAGCTACTGATGTCCGTTGATCTTCGGGTTGATGCCCAGTCAATTGGCCACCCGGCCACGGGTCTAGTCAATTGGCCTCCCCACCTGGCAGCCGACGTTCCCCTTTTTCAGGTCTCCGATGGAGTCCAAAGGTTTGCTAATGCCCGATCCCATCCGGCCGCGGGCTCGGCTGTTCGCAAGTTGCCGTCCACGGATGGAAAAGGGATGAAGGAAGGATGAAGGATGAAATAGGTCATCTCACTTGCAAGGAAGCACTAGTAAGACGACCTACAAGAATGTGCTTGGATATGCCATCATATACCCAGTTCTTGCAATTGCTTGGAGTGGGCTTTTTGCACGGAGTAGTTCTTCATACAAGAGCTCCAAGTGGGTGTAAGAAGTCAAAGAATTTGCAAGACGTCAAGAGCCCTCTAATGCTTCGATGACTTTGAGCCGTGTTGAGCCTTTATGGCAATTGGAGCTGTTCAAAGCCTAGTGTGTCTTCTATGTTGCTTGCCCCAGTTGCTTCGAGGACGGGCATCATCCCGCCAGCGCTACTAGCCGACGAGCCTGCTCCAGATACGAGAGTTGGCGTCTCAGAGAGGATTGGTGCTTGGATGCACCAAGATGGGAGTGGCTGTCCAGAGTGCAGCGACAGGCAGTTGTCTGGCATCGAAACAGGCAGTTGACTCAAAACGACTTCATGTCGCAAGGGTTGAGTAATGCGGCCCCAGTAGATCAGCATGTTTCAGACCACACCTTTTATCCAGCAAGACTCTTACAAAGTATATATATTAAAGTATATATATATATGATTTACACTGATGTACTTTGCCAGGTCGGAGGCCATCGCTACTAGGTTGGGCCATCGCTATTAGGTAGGCCATCGCTTTTACTTTGCAAATCTTTATAGCCGGAGCTTGCTGGATAATGTCAGCTCTTGGTGACCGGTGTTTGCTCGGCCAAGGTAGAACATGCAGAGCAATCGTGTGCATACAAGGTGGGCATCGAACAAGAGTCAACGAGAGCGGCGTCTTGAATTGTTGAAAGGAAATCAAAAGGATAACATTAACATAATGTATCGGGAAGACCATGTCTTATTGCAGTTGAGACTAACAAACTGACTAGCACCCAAAGAAGTGCACCAATGTGCATACGACCTACATATGCATTCAAGCGGTGAACACATGTCGCAATGCTTCATTGCTGCTTGCCGTGCTGCTTTGGTGGTAATTTCGTGCAATTGTTTTGTTAGGTTGATGTGGCCTACTGTTTGATTGAACTACTCAGAACAAATGTTGGGAGTGTGTTCCGTGAATTTTGACCTGAATCCTGCCGATTCTGCGGAGGCAGCGGATTGCGAGACCACAGAGTCGACGGTTGATACAAGAGGCCCGCTGCTGCCACCAAGGATGAGGCTGATTTGTTGATACCACAAACTCGTCATGCTGTCAAGCTAGGAGATGTTGACAAGGGGCTGAGAGCTTTGCTGACCATCAGGCAATCGCAGAGTGATAAATCAGAGCACCACTTGGCGCCGGGTTGCCACGATAATCCACAGCATCGAAATGTTATTTCTCTCTCATGACTCGCTCTCATGTAATAGTACGCTGCTGTCTGACCCCGCCGTCCTGTCATGTCAGCCATTCTCACCGGGAAACCACCGATGTCCGATTGGTTTTGCTGCTTGATGGAGAGCCTTTTTCTTGGCGCAGGTGTCGACGTGTCTGTTGGCATGCCCCTGAGATGGGACCCATTTGGTCGAGATGGCGTGCGGCGGCAAGAAGTCAAGAGCGAGTGGTTCCGTCCTTAGAACAACCGGGCCAAGCGCACCTGACGTCACAAGGATCATGATCCAGGCGTCCAGACGATTCTTCACTGTACTATATCATGGTTGTCTCAATTTGTTTGCTGCATTGGTTTCATAGCCTTTGCAGCAAAAGCCCACACAATACTCAGATCAACCCAGGACGCCAGACTCCCTGGCCAAGTACCTGAAGGTGTGGTCAACAGGGACAGGCAATGGCATAGGCTTGTCGATTCCCGCGACAAAGATGGCAAAGGAAGCGGTTTAGGAGTCTTTTAATTGCGGTAGCATTTCCAAATGTGTTTATCAATGTTTATCGGCGTATGATAGTTCACAACTGACTCACTTGACTTGGCCCAACAGAGAATCTCCACCCAACACAGGTGCACATTTTGAGGTTCCGGAAGCAAATAACAAACAGATGCAGCCGGTTCAGAAAAGCTTCTTTGAACTGTGGTAACAAGAAGCTACTAGGGGCTCCTGGCCTTACTACTAGGAGCAATCACGCTACTAGGGGCTCCTGGCATTGCTACTAGGAGCAAGGACGCTACTAGGTCTTTGGACGCTACTAGTATGTGGTTTGTCAGGGAGTTGCAGTGCAAATTGACAACAACCTCACTCACGGTCGCTTGTGGCACGCTCAGAGCAACGAGCGGTGACTCGCACTTCAGTCAGGATGTTTGTTTTGCGCGCGCCTGAGAGCATTTGGCGGTACCCAAAGCCAAAACTTAGATCAGGGTAACAAACAATACCGTACAATAATTCATAAGAATTCAGTATAATGACACATAACATATCATTTCCTGACAAGTAGGGATATGCTGCGCTACAAGTTCATGCATATGTATATGATTGTATATGTGGTCAATATAAAACTATGATATAGGTACACCGACCAATATATATCATGTTGCTCCTAGGTTCGTTTTCGTCCTTGACTGAAAGATGCCTTCATCGTAATTTACACTATCACTAGGAGGAGTTGGCGGGTTGCGGCCTGCTGACAATCCTTCATTGATTTGGTAGATTTGAGGGTCAATGAGAATGGGGGTCATACGTCATACGGCACCTGTTCTTTGGACGTGTTTGTTTTCTTTGTAGCTCTTCTCTTTGAGGCCTACGGTTGAGCGGCTGGATGCCTTCGTCTCGCGGCTGGTGTTTTGGCTATTATGATCTTGTACTGGAATGCAATGGAACAGTTTCAAGCAACCACAAAGAGGTTTGAGACTATGGGATGATAGGCCTGCGAACTACCCAAACATTTAGCCTACCAACATCTATCACCCATCCATTCCTCCAACGACTTCTTGCAAGGTGCTGAATTCGCAGCGGCAGCTTAAACATGCGCCGAAGAAGGTGGATGATTGATGCAATGCCTTTGTGAAGAGCTTTTATCGCCAAACACATATCGCCGCCACCAAACGGAGACATGTGCTCAAGACAAAGGGCGAATATATACCATGTACATGATCCTGGCCTGCTTCAATGTGTCAAAGCTACAGCAACTACAATAAGCCATGCTAAGCGGATCAATCCGCTACCCTGACCAGCGTTTGGTGCGATGGAGGTCCGGCACCGGCTGCAAGCGACTTTTGCGCTTCGCTTCCAGACGTTCTGGAACTTCTCCCGGAATGAGAAGGCCTGGTTCGGGGAAAGTGAGACCCAGATGAGTAAATATGAGTACTATACATTACTATATGCAAACATGCGAGGAAGTATCATGCCATCATATGAATGAATGTCTATGTTTTAGGTGTTGGTAGAGAGTTTTGGGGAGTGATTAGTGATTTAGTGGTTCACATGGTTTCTGACCTGCATCCAAGTACTTTGGTTTACAACACATGAAGCTTTTGATTTTGATTGGGATTTCTTGGTCGATGACCTTGAAAAAGCTCTAGATATGATATGACAATTAGACTTAGATCAAATTCAGTGGGACCACCAATAAACCGTTGCCCTCACTAGGTCCTAGAATAGGTCAGGTCTGAAACTTGCTGCAGAAGCATGATTCTGTTGACCCCTGAAGGGCAAGGGTGCACATCATGTGCAGTCCCGGGTGTATTCGAAGGTCCTCCAGAGAACCATTGGTCAGACCACAAATTAAGGATCAACCTGTAACTTTGTCACAAACAAGTATGGCTGAGAGGTCCTGCAGTACGTTTCAACATAGTTTACCTACAAAACACCGTCATGGCGACTTTTCGGAAAAGGGTGCGCCACGGTGGGACCCGTCCGGGATGAAACTTCCGGGTTCAACGGCTCGGTTCAGGTCCGGAACATCTCTCCCGAAGAGCTCAAGGGGATCCTGACGGCTTTGGTTGAGGAGCAGCGGAAGAAGACTGCTGTTTGGATCTTTGTACATGTTGAGTCTTCAAAGAGACTGGCCAACATCACGCCATGACCTGCGAAAGAATCTCTGCCATTTCAAACAAGCATGTAGCTGTGGCAATGTTTTGTTGCAACATGTTTTGCGATATGGCAAGAGATGTGGAAGCAGATCGCCTTGGTTTTGCAGAACCTGTCCAGCCATCACGACTTGACCCCTGCGGAGCCCCACACCTTGGCACAGTAGCTATCTCAGAGGGTGTTTTCGGCGGCCGGAGACCGTGTTGAGTGAGTGTCCACTGCTGGTCACTCTGGCAATTTGCCATTGTTCATCAACGCCCTGTGCATCCCTGTGCATCATACTCCCAGACGTAACACGGGACAAAAATGGTTCAGTCCAAAAGATCAGTGCATACACCTGTCAGATTCATTCTCTCAAGATGTCTCAAGACGTTCTTGTGTCGACGGTCGCACGATACATCACAGTGCTCCGGTCTTGACAGTCTCGGCCGGCTTTCAGGCCGAAACCTCTGCGGTACTATTCCTACGGCCAGGCCCAGCTGGTACCGGGAATTAGGTTTCCTGGAATCAGTCTCTCAAACTCGACCAGTGATGATCAGTAAATGTTTCAAAGAGCTGTCAAGAAGAAGGCCAAAATCTGAATCAACCCTTCCGACCTTTATCATATTAATCTTAGAAAAAGTATGAAAAAGTAACAATTGCTTTATAATTCAAAAGTGACGCAACAGACTGATCAGAGTAAACTGACCAGAGTTCATGCCGAAGAGGGACCTCAAAGACAGAAGTCCAAAAGAATAGATTGATCGAATATGATAGGATCGAATATGATCGAATATGAGGGTGTGACTCATTGACTGAAATTTCTGTGTTTCATAAAGGTACGTTTGAGAAAGCTTCGTCTCGTCTTCAGCATTTGATCCTGCTTTTCGTTGATTGTACAACCACGTCAGCATTGTGATTATGACAGAAACCTGTTGGGCAGACAAAAAGGTCGTATGCTGTCAGACTTGGATGTACGCCCAACAAACCTCCAGATGCATTCTTGATTGGAGATGATTACTGTAGTGATGTGTTTGGCCCGAAGGGCAGGGTGCCATTTATCCGCATTTCCTAAGGGTGAAGAAGTGTGTTGCAAGTATCTTTGTTCCTGCGCACAGTTACGACCAGCTGTGGATGCTGCAGCGTAGAGGCTTGCCATCATTTTGTCCTGGCTGGTTGCTTTCCTTCCAAGCATGATGGACATGGGACGGTGGTTGCACAGCAGTGACAAAGACTATACTGACTACTGTTCGGAACAAGACCGTACAGTATGCACACATTCTAGGAGCTGTGGGAGGCCTCACAAGTGGGATGTGAGTGGGTATAATGCTCAGGACCTAACATGTTCAAAGGCTTCATGATGGCACAAATCAAGACATTCACGATTAATGGTGATCTTGAGTGTCCCTTGAATTAATTTGCTTAATTTCTGGGCCTCTTGAGCCTGTAGCCGCAGCACTTTGATTCAATAAATCATAATCAATTTGCATCTGTGAAAACGTCCTGCCATAGGCTTCGCCAAGTTTGCTAAAGACGCCGCACTGATTCCTCGCCGTGCTGGGATGGCAGGGTCGATTGGGGTCTCATACGATCATAGAAGGGAGCAACATCTGGTGCTGACCGTCCGTGACGCCCAGACTACTAGTAAAGTAGCTGGAAGCCATTGGGTTGGAGGCCATTACTACTACTAACAAATAGCTACTAGTAGCTTGATTCACTTTGAGAGACCCCAGTTTTGACTCGCATGCATTTGAACAAGCATAGCTTTCCGGCGGTGAATGATGTGCAGCCTATTTGCAGGCACCGTTTGAAGGTCGGCAGGTATGGTGTAGTTCACATATGCTTGTTGCTTGGTGCCTGCAAATATCAAACCTGCTTGGACCTTGTGCGAGAGACAGCGTTCAGAAGATGATTTACAACAAAACAGAACTGCACTTAAGGCTCCCATGGTTTGATATCCTCTGACAGCGCGCCCGGGCATCGCAAGTGAATAGCTGGACCACCGTAGCAACATTAGAACTCAATAACTCCCCTAGCAAAACCGCAAAGCAGTAATATCAGTGTGTAAATATGGAGAGCAAGAAAACTCGTGTTGGATGGAAGGCGCAGCAAAGCGCAGCAAAGCAGTGAGAATGATTTCACATGTCAACACCGTTTTTTTGTGGACACCGTTTGCTGACACGAGGACTTTTTCGGCACGAGCCGAGCCTACCAGATGTTGATCGTTTCTTTCACCACACCAAGAAGGAAGGCAATAACAACCCCCACAGGCCAATTTGGATTTGTTTGGACTTCCATTTGAGACGACTCGTGGAGAATGCCGGCGTGCTGCGCAGAGGTTGCCGCCTGAAGATTCGTTTCACCTTAGCGAGGGCCGGAAACATGTCCAAGAAGAAGGATCAAGAGCATTTGACACAGTCATAGTTTTGAAATGTTTTGAACGGCAGGACAGAAGAACGGAACAACTCCTTATTGAAACAATAGGAACACCGCAGGTAAGCAGCTGTGGCGCCCATATCACTGGTGCACAAAGAGGGGAGGCTGCCTTCCACGTTCTGATTTTGGCTTGATGTGAACAAGTGCTAAGATGTGCCAAGCACGATCCTACAATTGCTTTTGCACTTCATCAGCTGTGCAATCAGCTTTGCAAATGGTGCCAGGATGTGTTTGCCCTTTGGTAGCACGCATTTAGCTCGCCTTTGGCCACCCAAGAACCGCAAGATTCGATCAAATCATTGATTCTAAATTATAAAATAAGAATAATACAATATATATATATATTCATATTTATATATATTGAATAGATTATATAAATCTATATTCAAATAATTATTGATATATATATATATTGATATATTAAGAATATAATATAAATATATATATATATATAATGAATATTTATATGGTTTGATGTGTTAATTACGAAAGCTAGCGAAGTTAGCTGGAGTTATTCTTGCGATAGTAAGGTTTTTTTCGCCCGGGTGTAAATTTTAATTCTTTATTTAGGTCGAAGAGATCCTTCTCCCCTTTACTTCCTTTTTCCTCTTCTCCTTTTTCCACTTTTCTTTCTTCTTTTCTTCTTTGTTTTTTTCTTATTTTCTCTCTTTTTTTTTTCTCTCTTCGTAAATTCGACTCCGTTTTGTCGTCGCTTTTTGGTATGCGGTTAACGTTGCATATTTTACGGTCGCATTCGCTAATTCTCATTTTTATTGTTTTATTTATCTCTTTTATTTCCTTTATCTTTCTTATCTCCTTTATCTCTTTTATCTTTCTTATCTCTTTTATTTCTCTCATTTCTTTTATTTCTTTTATCTCTTTTATTTCTTTTATTTTTCTCTCCTCTTTCTTTCTTTCTTTTTTTCTCTCTCCTCTCTATTTCTTATCTTTTTATTTCTCTTCTTTCGCGGGAGGATCCGGGCAAAAAGTCATATATAAAGGACTCTTCACCCCTGCTTCTAAAAAGAGCGCCGTATTTTTTCTTACCTCGCTGCTCTTTATTTTTCTATTCTGGAGCGTTAGCTTTCGCCCCCCCCCCTTGGCCTCAAGTATAAAGGAATTTATTAATTAAAAGATATGGAATTATATTAAATTCTAAAAGGGAAAAATTATTAAAGAATATTTTATATATTGGGAATAATTTGATTTATTTTTGGTATATAAAAATATTGAGGATTTATATTTTTGGGGAAATTATATATTGTTTATATTTTAGTAATATTTATATGTAGATTTATTATTAATAAATTTATTTCGATTTGAATTAAAAATTTATTAATCGTAATATATATAATTTTATTAATATTTTCTATTTAATATTAATTTTATATAATGAAATTCGATTGATTTAATTAGATTTTAAATTTATTAATTTATATTAAAATTAAAAAAATATGAATTATAATATTTTTAAATATATTTAAGAATTTATATAATTCCTATAAATGAATAAATATATATATTAAAATATTATATAAATATATAATATAGTTTAATTTTAAACAATATAAAATATAAATATAAATAATTTATGGATGATCTATTTTTTATTCTTCGATTAACTTTTGTGGAGAGGCTTAGTCGTATATATATATTCTTGAAATTAATGAATATAATATGTCCAATATTTTCGTCTGCATTTTGCGCATTCGACACGCAAAATCGCATTCTCGCCCTCGACACGCGCGATCTCCGCAGAGGGTGGCCCCGGACCAGGCCATAACGCACTATCGCCTGCGTTTCGCGCCCTCGACACGCACGATCTCCGCAGAGGGTTGCCCCAGACCGGTCAAATCGCACTATCGCTCGTAGCGCGCGATCCCCGCGATGGTCCTAGCTGGACCCGGGCAAATCGCACTCTCGCCTACATTTCGCGCGTCCGACACGCGCGATCCAAGGAATCTGGATTCCCAATTATGGGATGGAATTGATGATAACGTTATCTATTTTCCAAGACTGGTGGCCCTCAACCATCCTGCCAATTCTCCTGCATCGTGTTGCGCACGAAAATTGTGAGAAGAGAACCATGAATGAAGTGGTTCACCTAAGAAGTCATCTCGGCATGGATCCAAGGGCCCAGGCTCAGAGCATGGGAACAAACGAATCAAGGGATCCTTCCATGCATCCTAGGCTTCAACAATGAAAATCTCTATCATGATCATGGTCCATAATTGTGTTTGCAGTGTATTTTTGAGATAGCATGTGGTTCCATTCGAATGGAGTGTATGTATGTGTGCGAAATAAATCAATCATTTCCTTATTCTTTGGGAAATGGCCACGGCCAAAGGCGAATGCTGAAGGCCTGTCGGCCGAATGCTCAGCAAGGTAAGTAGTGTGATCCTATTGCCGATCAATCGTTGGATATGGCTGAACAATTCGGTGGCCTCGGTTATACGCAACTCTCGAATTTCAAGGGGATTGCCGTGACCGCATCTTGTGGCAACGTATCTTATTTCAAGGATCTCAAAATTGCAAATCGATGGACCAATTGCGGATTCTGGCTCAGGATTTGTATGCGCTGAAGGATCTGACAAATCTCCTGGCAATTGATGGGCCCTATTTCGTAGGACGCAAGGTCCGGGCTTTTGTATCCCACGCCAAATAATTCCACCGACGACCGGGTATAAATAAATATTCCTTTCGAGATCAAAATCTTTATCAATTCGTCGTCGCTTTGGTCCAATCTGAGCTTCCCTGCACGATGGATTAAGGCCCGAATGAATTCCTGGAGTAATATTTACCCAAGAGATTGAGTGGCCTCTCCAATTTGCTTCTACATATTGCATAAACGAGATTTTTCGAACAATTGCGGTATTAGGTTGCCGCGTCCATATTGAGCAAACGCCGCAAACGAACGATCTAAATTCATCTCGTTCAACGTATCTATTTATCAAAGCGACAGGCGTGCCATCATCTGAAGCAAATCTGTTTGCTTGAAAGAGCCTGTGGACATTAAATCCAATGCATCTGATTGTCTCCTGGATTGTTCTCGGTCATCCATGGGAAGGATGTCGGCGCGATGCCTCTTCGGGGAATTGAATATATGGAACCGTTTCCAGATCCATAAATATAGGTCAAACTAGAATCATGCAACCAATGAATCCAATCAAAATATAGAGCCAAGACTATATCACTTAGAATGGCATCTAGAACATCGAATTGCGAATATATATCTTTAAAAATTACGTAATTATATGACGAACGAAAATCGAGGCATATTGAATTCCAAACCCATGTTACGGGTGCATGAAATCCAAGTGCTGCAATAAAATGGAATACCTGATCAATCAAAAAACAATTTTGTTACAATTCACAGAAATGGATATTCAATTGTGTCGAATGCATATACCACTAAATGTATACCTCTAGCATCAACGTCGGTTCCACTTATATCGAAAATCAATTTCAACGAAAACAAATTTGTACTCGATAATTTGCCACAAATAGACTAATTATAAAGGTTCATAACGATAACAACATTAACAACGTTTCTATCCTAAAAGATTCGTGTAACCAAAAATCTTTTTTATCGAAACAAAGAACCGCTAATTCCATAAGGCACGCATCGCAATAAATCCAATTGCATATCTTCCCTGCTCTGCTCGGAAGGCTATACGGTCCTACGGATTTCTATATTATTTCTATTTTCGTATTCAAGCCCATCGAATAAATAAGATCATTCAATATACCCTAGCTATTTCAAATAACGTTCCACCTTAGGCCTCAAAAACATATCATCATTCAATCGAAATGCTTTATGCATTCGATTTCCCCCATAATCTTATTTATAAAAGAAAATATACAGATTCTTTATTAATTCTATAAAATATAGAACACGTTACCACCAGCGTGCGATAAAACTGTAAATATTTCATTGTATTCTTGCATATCTAGTAGACTAGTGCAAAAACACTATATTTCAGTGAGTGTATTATACTAAATGCTTCAGTGTCTTCAGTGTCACATAACCAAAAAAACAAAAAGCCCAAAAAACAAAAAACTTTAAACAAACAAACAAAAAAAACAAAAAAAAACAAAAAAAACAAAAAACAACCAACCCAAGACCCTCTGCAATCCATGAGTCTATTTTTTTGTTTTTTTTGGTTTTTTGGTTTTTCAACAGGTTTTGGACACTGCACTCAGGAAAACCAAAAAGAAAACCTTTGGATCCAAGACCGTCTGCAAGCCATGAGTTTGTTTTTTTTGTTTGTTTTTTAGTTTTGCAATTTCAGAAAATTCCTATGCCCATCCTGTCTGGCTCATAGTCATCCTTTTATCGTTCAATTTGCTTCTGTGCTATCTTTCGAGCCCTTCGACACTTTATGGCCATGGAGGTGGAAGGCGATAATATGTCCCTGAGCGATGCCATCGCAGCGACCCAGCACCTCACGCTGCGAGAACTTCCAGCTCATGTTCATGTTGGCCCTCTACCGGTCGGTTCGGTCACTCCGATCTGTCTACCTTTGAAGGAATTTCTTGTCTGTCTTCAAGTGTCATCGAAAGTCGATAGGCCATACCCCATCACATGTGATATTTATGCACGATTCTTATGTTTCTCAGGCTTTCGCACTCTACTCCTTCAATCAAGCACTTCGTTGATTTGATCTATGATGTCGAGCCCTCCTCGATCGACATGGACAATCTGAAAGCCATCATCAGAGACAAGGCTTGGCAAGAGCTTCCTGAAGCACTTACCTTGAAGGAATGCCCCACGTTCTCTTGCTTGTCCCAATTTTGTTTGCTTCCACAAACCAATGGGAAACTATGTGTTTTTTAGCATTACTACGTCAAGAGTGACAAAGTCAAGGGCGCATATGTTGCCAAGCTCGTGCGTGGTCAAGGCAAGGAGATTGCTTGGGCCTCCCTCAACAAACAGCAAGCTCGCCGTGGCTTCCAGTGGATGTTGGAGTGCCTGGGTGGGCATCAGTTTCGTCACTTCTCTCTTTCCGTTGAGAAGGTCCGATCCAACAAAGCACGTGCCCCTCAAGGAGAAGATGAACAGGATGCAAGATGGGACTTCATCATCAGCAACGGTGAGAGAGACAAGGAGAATTTGAAGCAGATGCGCTGGATCCATCGCCACATCCAAAAAGAAGGTTCTCCGATCCATGGTTGGAACGAGAAGTTGGTTCAGAGAGCTCTTGATTGTCTTGCTAATGACGGATGTCTGGCCAAATTGTCTGACAGATATGATTTGACCATCCAAGCCATTCAGCCAGAAATCTTGACCATCTTGGAAGATCTCTTGCCTCATCTTCGTGGACATTCCCTGTGGCTGCTCGGAGAGTCCGGTGTCGGCAAAACCCCTCTCGCTCGAATTCTTTCCATGATGTTTTCGCAATATCATGGAGGAAATGGTCAGTTCAGGTCAGCCCCGGAGTTTGATTTCTTTCGTGGCATCTTCTTCGACAAGGCCACGCCTGCCATTTTTGACGATGGTGAAATCGGTAATGAGACCATCAAAAAGAAAAAGGCGTTCTTAGATGTGGGAGATTCTGAGACCATCCTGAAAGAAAGGCCGGGCTCTGCAATGTCACATCACATGTGCAATCCATATATTGCATTTTCCCTTGACATGCATGTCTGTGAATGTAAATCATTAATTATCTTGGGCAGGTGGACGGCAGCGAAGTTCGTGCTGCATCAACTTCGCATCGTCGTAGACAACCAGTACAACCCAGAGGGTCAAGAAGGCGATGTTGATGGTGTTTTCTCAGCAGAAGTCTCCCATAAGTCTTTCATGAAGTTGGTCCGTCCAGCCGTGGGCTACATCGCCAATGCCGATGCTATGGCAATTCTGAAAAGGGCTGCCTTCATCGTGTTTGCTGAGAAGTACATCTATTTCCGACCACCCACTGAGAAGCATGTCAAGGTGCAGCGTGTTTTTTGGACCAACTCAAATTCAAAGGACATTCTTCTTCCAGATTGCAAGCCAACCCTGAAGAATTGGAAAAATGGTGGGCCTCAGCCGGATTCTTATTCCGCATCTGTGGCGTGGGAGACTGAATGGTTGAAAGAGCTATTCCGTCGACATGATCATCCTGTACGTCCTGCTTCGCCAGCTTGTCCTGCTACTCCTTTGACTTCCACGCCTGGTTTGGATGCGTTGCTTCGGGCTGATGGGGCATTGCCTGCTGCACCTGCTTCTTCAAGGCCGGCATCGAGTTCATTGTCAATTCCTCACCCTGCCCCTGCTCTTTTGGTTGGCGTACCTAAATTGGAGCCAGCCGAGCATCCGGATGCGCATGCATGGTTGGCCACAGCGACACGTGGAGATCCTGTGGATGTAGACACAGATCGTGCAAGTGCAGGTTGGACCGTTAAGGAAGAGCCTTCCTTGAAATTCCAGAGCCTTGCTTTTACCTCTAGGGAGCCCATTGTCTTGGACACACCTTCCCCGCCACCACACAAGAGATAGAGAAGGACAGAAGACATTCCCAATCCGGACACTTTGCCTGGACTTCATCCTCCCTCTGATGACGAAGATCCGGTGCCTCGCGTTGGTGCTCCTCCTGACTTAGAATTTGGAGGTCCTGGCTGCCAGAATGGCTTCAAAGATGTGTGCTTGATCATGGCCATGCAAAATATTGGTCTTCCGGTGGTTTGCGATCAAGATGGCCCATTCTCAATTTCCTACGGCAATAGTCTGCCACTTCCCTTTGGCGTCCAATTGTGTCAGAAGCATTGTCGAAAGTCTTTGCCGGATGGCAGCTACATCGTGCATGACAAGGACATGAAGCACTTCTTTGCCTTGCAGCATCGAAAAGGTTTGCTCCTCAAGAAGGATGGTGAGGTCACCTCAGTGGTGTCTGTTGGTGTGGCAATGGACATGTTGTCTTCTGACCAGTACACCTTCTACTACTTGCGAAGGCAATCCTACTCAGCATTAATGATCTTGGATGCTGTGGGAGATTCTAGTCCGCAGACTTTCACATGTCCTCTGAGCAAGTGTGTCTGTGAAGGTTATTCTGGTTCCCTCATCTATCATTTGTCTGTCGATGTTGTGCTGTACGATTTAGATGGTCCTCGAAAAATCGTCCACGTGCAGAAGAATTATACTTCCCGTTCTTGCCGGGCTTCTTATGGCTACAACTATCGCTGGGAAGCAGGCAAGAAGGTGAACGTCCTTGGCATGAAGGATTTTCAGGACAACATTCTATTTGTGAACTCGAAGAAGGCCTTTTCTTTGAAATACATCCAGTATCATGAAGAACTTCTGTTTCGCGGTCATCTCTTAAGTGCTGTTGTGTCGTGTGCTTACCACGTTGTCCACGGAGATTCCCAAGAGTCAATCCTTCAGAACTTTGACAAGTTGCATGCGTCTGCGTTGTTCTACTACATGGCTGTGAGGGAGTTCAAGTTGTTGGACCTGCATCAGGAGATCATGATCGAACAGGAGATCCAAGATACCCATCTTGACCTCTACGATTCTTTTTGCCACTCATCTACCTTTCCTCCACACAAGCGTCAGCAGGTGAAGACCTTAGTCCTTGATGGAAACCAGAAGCTGAAGATGCAGTGTGATATGGCGCCAATGAAGCGCGCAGGCCGTCCTAGGAAGTCTGAGCACACCACCGGGCACTACACCAATGGCTGGATGCTTGCGTGTGATCCGAAGTCCGGTCGCATCATCAGCTTGCAGGTCATGCATGAGGCTGAAGGCAACGAGGTCGCAACTCTGGCTGTGGAGAACTTCATCTGGTTGTATCCCAAACTGGATTGCCTTGTCTACGACAGAGCATGCGCTTTCAAATCATGTGGGGAGTCGAATGAGGCCTTGAATCAGATCAGCTACTATGTCGTGGATGGTTTTCATTCTCATGGTCATTCGCGAACCTGCCCTTGCAATCCTCGTGTCCTGTCTATTTGTTTCAACACCAAATCAATCAATATGGATTCTGTTCTATCGAGACGACCACAATCATTTTTTGCAATTTTATTGAGGCACATGTTGTTGCATTAGTCCTTATGAATGTGTCGTTTTGTATAATTTCGTATTTATTTTAAATCAAGCCTACCTAGGCTACCGCAAGAAGCTGGAGAAGCGCATTCACTTCGATCTGCGAACAGGTCTTCTCGTGGTTCCGCAACTTTACCCCTATCATCAATGAGATGCGAGCCCACCGGCACAAATTCTTCTTGTTGCTTCTGTCCAAACGTCACAACGAGTCCATTGAGGGTGGCAACATTCGGTATTTGCATCCAATTCGCCTGCCAAACCTCTTCAAGAATGCGAAGTCTGTCTCATACCTATATGGAAAGAAGTCCAACACGAAGAATGCAATTGGCAAACCCTCGTCTGGCAACAAGATGGTCATGAAGGGCAAGTCCATGAAGAGTAAATCCATGAAGTACAAGAAGTGAAGAAAATTGAGGGACCATCTGTGGATCTAATCTCATGGGACAAGTTCTGTAGAATATAAATATTTTTGCTATGTAAATCCTTCTATTTGGTGGGTTGCTATTAATTAAACATATTAGTGCATATCAGTAAGATTGCTATAGAACCTCTATTGAAATATTGTTGTTTGTTGGAAGTCCACACGAGAAGTTTTGGCTTTGGTATGAGCTGAAAATTTTAGACAGCAAGATTTGGCAGCTTGAAATGCTTAAAAAAGTGCACGCTCACAGTGACGAGCTCTCATAAAATATGTATTTAAAAAATATTTGATTTTCATATTATCATATAATACCGACAAATCCTACCGCTACGACAATAATAATCAGCCCCCAAAACACGTACGCCACATATTTAATCGCGACATTTTACAACGACAACCGACGCCCGCACCCGATTTGCACCACGCGCGCACGCCGGACCGACACCCCCCACCAACCTATCTCGAAAACGCGCACAACCAACTCATTCTTGTTTAAAATCAAAAATCCATAATTATCGATACAATCATAAATATAAGTTATAACGCACAATAAACATCTCCAAATTTTAATAGATATATGTTTCTATCGTTTGTGAGAATCCAAATCTCTAAATATTGCGGAATTTTAAAAAGTTGATCGACAATTTTCAGAATAAAAAATTTGATTTTCGACCTCGTCATCTTAGGTCAATTCTCATTTACATTTACGTTTGTAATATCGGTTTTCCGACAGGACGTGCGCAATGGGCCGAAGGGTTACCATTTTATAAAACAATATAGAATATAAATTATTGATTATTTATGTTTATTTGTTTCAAATTTGCATCTTAATCTTTGAAATATTGGCAATAATTCTCCTGGAAAAAATATTGCCTACAAACAGACTAAGGACGAATCAACATGTTCTGTTAAACAATGAAATCGTTGATATTGCCAATTCTCCTGGATCGTATTGCGCAAGAAAATTGTGAGAAGAGAACCATGAACGAAATCGTTCGCCTACGAAATCATCTCGGCATGGATCCAAGGGCCAGGCTCAGAGCATGGGAACAAACAAATCAAGGGATCCTTCCATGCATCCTAGGCTTCAGCAGTGAAAATCTCTATCATGATCATGGTCCACAATTGTGTTTGCAGTAAATTATTGAGATAGCATGTGGTTCCATTCGAATGGAGTGTATGTATCTGTACGAAATCAATTAATTATTTCCTCATTCTTTGGGAAATGGCCACGGCCAAAGGCGAATGCTGAAGGCCTGTCGGCCGAATCCTCAACAAGGTGAGTTGTGTGATCCCATTGCCGATCAATCGTTGGATATGGCTGAATAATTCGGTGGCCTCGGTTATACGCAACGAAATCTCGAATTTCCAGGGGATTGCCGTGACCGCATCCTGTGGCAACGTGTCTTATTTCAAGGATCTCAAAATTGCAAATGCTCAGGACTTGTAAGCGCTGAAGGATCTGACAAATCTCCTGGCAATTGATGGGCTCCTATTTCGTAGGACGCCAGGGCCATCGACGATCGGATATAAATATTCCTTTCGAGATCAAAATCTCTATCAATTCGTCGTCCGTTTGGTCCAATCTGAGCTTCCCTGCACGATCGATCAAGGCCTGAATGAATTCCTGGAACAATGTTGGCCTAAGAGATTGGGTGGCCTCTCCAACTTGCTTCTATAGATTCCAAAAACAAGATTTTTCGAGCAATCGCGGCATCAGGCTGCCGCGTCCACATTGAGCAAACACCAAGAACGAACGATCTAAATTCGTCTCGTTCAACATGTCCGTTTGTCAAAACGACAGGCGTGCCATCATCTGAAGCAAATCGTCTTGCTTGAAAGAGCCTGTGGACATTGAATCCGATGCATCTGATTGTCTCCTGGATTGTTCTCGGTCATCCATGGGAAGGATGTCGGCGCGATGCCTCTTCGGGAAATATTTCCTATAAGCCGAGAATAAATCCTAATAGGATTGAATATATGGAACCATTTCTAGATCCTTAAATACAGGTCAAACTAGAATTATGCAAACAATAAATCCAATCCTAATATAGAGCCAAGACTATATCACTTAGAATGGCATCTAGAACATCGAATTACGTAATTATACGACGAACGAAAGTCGAGGCATATTGAATTCCAAACCCATGTTACGGGTGCATGAAATCCAAGTGCTGCTATAAAATGGAATACCTGATCAATCAAAAAATAATTTTGTTGCAATTCACAGAAATGGATATTCAATTGTGTCGAATGCATATACCACTAAATGTAAACCTCTAGCATCAACGTCGGTTCCACTTATCGAAAATCAATTTCAACGAAAGCAAATCTGTATTCGATAATTTGCCTAAAATAGATTAATTATAAAGGTTCATAACGATAACAACATTAACACCATTTCTATCCTAAAAGATTCGTCTAACCAAAAACCTTCTTTATCAAGCAAAGAACCGCTAATTCCATAAGGCACGCATCGCAATAAATCCAAACGCATATCTTCCCTGCTCTGCTCGGAAGGCTATACGGTCCTACGGACTTACATATTATTTTGTATATTCGTATTCAAAACCCATCGAATATATAAGATCATTCAATATAACCCTAGCTATTTCAAATAACGTTCCACCTTAGGCCTCAAAAACATATCATCATTCAATCGAAATGCTGTATGCATTCGATTTCCCCCATAATTCTATTTATAAAAGAAAATATATAAATTCTTTGTTTCATTCTGTTAAATGTATAATTGAAAAATACATTCGCTTTGCATATTATCATACAATACCGACAAATCCTATCGCTACGACAATAATAATCAACCCCCAAAACACGTACGACCACATATCTAATTGGGACATTTTACAACGACAACAACGCCGACACTAACGCCCGCACCCTATTTCCACCACGCGCGTCATCCCAGACCGACACCCACCACCAACCTATCTCGAAAATGCGCACAACCAACTCATTCTTATTTAAAATCAAAAATCAAGAATTATCGACACAATCATAAATAAAAGCTATAACGCGAAATGAACATCTCCAAATTATAACAAATATGTTTGTATCGTTTAATAGAATCCAAATCTCTAAATATTGCGGAATTTTAAAAAGTGGATCGAAAATTTTCAGAATAGAAAATGGATGAAAATTGGATTTTCGACCTCGTCATTTTAGGTCAATTCTCATTTACGGTTGTAATATCGGATTTCCGACAGGACGTGCGCAATGGGCCGAAGGGTTTCCGTTTTATGTAACAATATTAAAAAATATAGTTATTTATATTCATTCTAAGTCTCAAATTTGCATCCCAATCTTTGAAATGCAATAATTCTCCTGGAAAAATTGTTGCATACAAACAGACTAAGGACGAATCAACATGTTATATTAAACAATGAAATCGTTGTTATTGCCAATTCTCCTGTATCGTGTTGCGCAAGAAAATTGTGAGAAGAGAACCGTGAATGAAATGGCTCACCTAAGAAGTCATCTCGGCATGGATACAAGGACCCAGGCTCAGAACATGGGAACAAACGAATCAAGGGATCCTTCCATGCATCCTAGGCTTCAGCAGTGAAAATCTCTATCATGGTCATGGTCCATAATTGTGTTTGCAGTAAATTATTGAGATAGCATGTGGTTCCATTCGAATGGAGTGTATATATCTGTACGAAATCAATCAATCATTTCCTCATTCTTTGGGAAATGGCCACGGCCAAAGGCGAATGCTGAAGGCCTGTCGGCCGAATCCTCAACAAGGTGAGTTGTGTGATCCCATTGCCGATCAATCGTTGGATATGGCTGAATAATTCGGTGGCCTCGGTTATACGCAACGAAATCTCGAATTTCCAGGGGATTGCCGTGACCGCATCCTGTGGCAACGTGTCTTATTTCAAGGATCTCAAAATTGCAAATGCTTAGGACTTGTAAGCGCTGAAGGGTCTGACAAATCTCCTGGCAATTGATGGGCTCCTATTTCGTAGGACGCAAGGTCCGGGCTTTTGTATCCCACGCCAAATAATTCCATCGACGAACGGATATAAATATTCCCTTCGAAATCAAAATCTTCATCAATTCGTCGTCCATTTGGTCCAATCGGAGCTTCCCTGCACGATCGATCAAGGCCTGAATGAATTCCTGGAACAATGTTGGCCTAAGAGATTGGGTGGCCTCTCCAACTTGCTTCTATAGATTCCAAAAACAAGATTTTTCGAGCAATCGCGGCATCAGGCTGCCGCGTCCACACTGAGCAAACACCAAAAAACGAACGATCTAAATTCATCTCGTTCAATATGTCTGTTTGTCAAAGCGATAGGCGTGCTATCAACTGAAGCAAATCGTCTTGTTTGAAAGATTCCGTGGACATCGAATCCGATGCATCTGATTGTCTCCTGGATTGTTCTCGGTCATCCATGGGAAGATATTTCCCATAAACCGAGAATAAATATTGATAGGGTTGAATATATGGAGTCGTTTCCAGATCCATTAATATTATACTTGAGGCCAAGGGGGGGCGAAAGCTAGCGCTCCAGAATGGGAAAGTGGAGGGCAGCGAGGTAGGAAAAAACACGGCGCTCTTTTTGGAGGCAGGGGTGAAGAGTCCTTTATATGTGGCTCTTTGCCCGGATCCTCCAGCGAGAGAAGAGAGAGAAGAGAGACGGAAAGACGAGAGACAGAGAGGAGAGAGAGAGAGAGAGAGGAGAGAGAGATGAGAGAGATGAGAAAGAGATGAGAGAGATGAGAGAGATGAGAGAGACAGTGAGACAGTGAGAGAGTGAGAGTGAGAGTGAGCGAGTGCGGCCGCAAGATACGCAACGCTAACCGCATGCCAAAGAGCGACGACAGGACGGAGTC